TGTGAAGCATTTTCTAGTGATCAAGTTATGGTATATGAATATGAGTGCACCGATACTCCAAGATTAATGTAAATATTGTGTATTGTAAATGTATGCCAATGCCTTAGTCACTGTCCCGTCCCTGGAAGAAAATACCCAACAGCCACAGTGTAAAGGAAGAGGAGCTCATTTTGGCTCAGTTTGTCATGGCTGACTGGCTCCAAGGCAACAGAGAAAAGAGGAAGCAGAGAGAGGGGAGAGCTGGGGAGAAGAATATTCTCTTCCAGGCCACAGCTCAGCAACCACCTCCAACCAGGCCCCACCTCCTAATTGTACGTTCAGTTGTGAATTCTTCCGTGAGTGAATCGCTGATGAGTATGAGCACCCCATATTCCGATCACCACCCAAACACGCGAGGCTGCTTGGGATCATTTCTCATATAAACTATAACTTTCACCTCGGCCCCCTAAGGACTCATGTCCACCTCATTTAGTTCATCTCTAAGAGTCACCAAAGTCTTAACAGTTTCAGCAGTGCAGAGACTTCCCATTCCAAAGACTCCTATAAGACTCAAGGCCAACTCTTATCTGTGAACCCGGTAAAAATAAAAAAAGAAAGTCAAACGTATCTAACAAATAATGAAACAGGGTAAATAGTCCCATTCCAAAAGGGAGAAATAGGGGGATAGGAATGGGACAAAAGTAAGACCGAAACCCAGTAGGGCAAACGTTAAATCCCCTCCTGGACCCAGTGGTGCTAAAGTGTGTGCTCCAGAGGGTGTGGGCGGCCCTGTCCCTACACCATCGCTGGCTGCAGCCCTCATGGCTTCTCTCCTGGCTGGCTCTGCTCACTGCCTGTAGCTTTCTACAGCAGATGTTCCCTGTTCCTGGCATCTCCAACTTCCTCGGATCTCCACTGGACTTTCAGCTTCACTGTCACAGCTTCACACACTGCCTTCTCAGGGGCCCACCACCTGGCCTCCCGGGCTGTTCTCTGGAATCTGGGTAGGAGCCTCCTTGACCCCACAACCCTTGTATTTCTCATGCCCAAAAATCCAGCTCCTTATGGTTGATGCCAAGATCTGCCATTAGCTGAAATAGTAGGTCGGCCCCCTTGGACAATGGCTGAATACCTGGATGGTTGATACTGTGAAATGAATCACAGGGAACTAGTTTCCTAGGTGGCCTTCTTGAACAGGAGGCCCAGGGGCTTACTTCTCAAATGAAAGCATTACAGTTTTCTTCCTGGAACCTTCAAAGGGCGGGGTCTTGATGATTCCTGAGATGCCTTCAAGGCACCTTTCCTATTATCCTGATGCAAAGTATTTGGCTTATTTTTAATGCTAATCTTTTGAGCAGTCAAACTCCTTGGCTCCAACTTTACAAGTGCTTCCTTTCCAGGCACCAGCAAAATTTTTCAAAATAAACAACTCTGCTTTATGGACCCGATAAAACTAAATCTACCTAAAGCATCCAGCAGTACCCATGCCACAGCCTGAATGTTAGATTTCTGATACTTCCTCTGGCAAATTAATTCATCCATCACCCTTAATCTTAGTTTCTTGCGAAGTTTCAAGACACACATGGCCTCAAGTGCAGCTGCCAGTGGAATCCTTGATCCTAATTGATGCCTCCTGTGCTTGCTTCAGCAGCATATATACTAACTGAAGCTTCCTGCCCTTTGCTGTCTGCATTCCTATCACCATTTTGGCCTTCTGAGTTTCACGGCCTCACCATGAAACTCACCTTACAGCATTCTATAGTTTCTCCACTTGGCATCTCCAAACATTTTTAAGCTCCTCCTACGTATAAGTTCCAAAGGACTCTAAACTACACAATCAGGTATAGTCATAGTAATAACCCTACTCTTGATACCATTTCTATCTTAGTCACGTTCTCATCACCGAGACGCAGTACCTGATGCCTGAAACTTAAAGGGGGGAGAGGTTTCTTTCGGCGAATGGTTTCAGTCCATGGTTGGCCAGCTCTAAGGCAGAAACAGCATGGTGGAGGGGCCCAGCAAAGGAAAAGATGTCCAACCCCTGGCAGTTAGGAAGCAGAGAGAAGGGAAGAGCCGGGGAGGGAGTGCACCCTCTAGGTCATTCTCCCAGTGACCCTTGTCTTCCGACCAGGCCCCATCTCCTAACAGCACGTTCAGCTCTGTGTCCCCATGAGCCACTCACCTTCCCTGAACACATAAGGCCTTCGGAGGACATTCCAGATCTAAACCATAACAGGGAGAAAAGAGAAAAGGGGCTAGCAGGGAGGGTGGGATAACTTTTAAGCAAGGGGGTTAGTGGCAAAGTGTCTTTGCTGTAAAAAAATTCTTTCTGATTTAAATATTTACTGTATTTTCAGTCAAACCTCACAAAACATTAGATGTGTGGTGTAATTGTCCTCAAGTAACTTGGTCTGAGACGGGCATGATTTTTAGATTTTATTTTCATTTCCATATAAAAGAGAAAAACCTTATTTAGTGTGGAACTATTACCTCCATGTTTTCAGCCTGGTCAAAAACAAAAACAGAAAAAGAGGGGCTGGGGATTTAGCTCAGTGGTTCCGCTGCCTGCTTTGTAAGTGCAGTCTGGAGTTTGATCCCTGGTACCCCCCCCAAAAAAAGTTAAAAATTAAAAAAAAATGAAAAAGAAAAAAGTGTGAGGGCAGTGTGGGAATTGACTTCACGGTTGTGCACCTGCTCAGCAGTGCTCTACCACTAAGCTGTGTGCCCAACTCTTCTTATTTTATTTGGAGACAGGGTCTTTTTAAATTGTCCAGGCTGGCTTCTAAATTGTGATCCTCCTTCAAGTTTCCTAGTAGCTAGGATTACAGGCTAGGCTATGCCTGGCTAGCAAAACAATGTGCAATTTTAATAAATAGTTAAAAATTTCAAAGTAAGAAAATATTCCAGTGGAGCACAGACAAATAATTCCAGTCTGCACACTGCTGCTGCAAATCCCCAGGGTACTGGGAAGGTGGCCAGAAATCAGCTCTTCAGGATGAACTGCTGGCAAAACACACTAACTTTTTATACTTTAAAATAGTAGTAAAGGCCAATAAAAATCTGTAGGTAATAAAATTGAGTAAGCATTTTCAAAATGTGTACATATAACACTAAAAATAGTGCTGTAGTTTTGCCAGCATCCAGTTTTGAAGCCTGTTAGTATTAAAATTATATCACATTGTAGAGAAAAATTTATGAAAAAAATTGTATGTTCTTATAAATCAAAAAGGGGAGAAAATGTTGGAGTAGGTGAACTAATCGTTAGATTCATTCACACGTGCAAAGAGTTCCCTGCTGTATTCCACAAGCGTTGCCAGTCCTCAGACACTGTTATAAAGGTGAACGACAGGTGCCTCTCAGACGTGCACTGGGGAAAATGATGATTAGGGCTGAAGGGAGATGGTGCTGCTGTAGATGTTGTGTGCAGGAAAGGACAGAAAGGAGCTCCTGCCTGCCTCGTTGAGCTGGGTGCTGCCTCTGAGAGGACATTTGAGCTGGGTTTAAAAGAAGGAGGAAAAGGAAAGGGGCCACATGCCTGCTGTTTGGCCAGCATCACACTAGATGCTCTGATAGTGCTAAGAAGAATAAGACCCACTGGGAAGTCCAGTAGGGCTAGAAGGCACCTGCAGAATTCAAGACAAAGCCACATGCAAAGCATGATTACAGAGGGGTTGTGGAGTTCTAGCTATAAGTCAGAAAATAGTTCAAGACAGTTTTCTTTCTGTTCTGTTTTAGAATAAGAAGTATAGGCTGAGAATGAGAGTTCTGTCCAAATCAGCCTCTTGGAAAGGGTCATGCGTGTAAGCACATCCAGAAATGGCAATTTCTTAATTTTGGTGAAGATCTTAGCAGATACACATGTATTTGTCACACTTTGTTTAAACAATCCTTATGGGTTAGAGAAAAGTGTCCCAGAGTGGGAGTTGCTGGCTGCATCAGTAGGCTTGTTTTTAAGCCTTTGGTATTTTTGGCCACGTTGTTTTCCAGAAGGATTTTTATTGTACACGCTCCTGCCGGCACACGCTCCTGCCGGTACACAGTCCTGTCATACACTTCTGCTGCCTTCAGTTGGAGACCTTTCTCTCTAAGAAATCTCTGATACTAAATTGCACAATTTTTAAATCTGTGGCTATTTGACAAGCAATCAGCAGCTTCTTCCTGTGGTTTTAACTTTAATTTGTCTTCTTAAAAATAATGGCAGCTATTATGTTAATTCATTGCCTGTGTTTAATTTTTGGTGCATTGCTTTGTTACACCCTTGGCCTGTTTTGCTATTGAGGTCTTGTTTTTCTCTTATTAATACATATGAATTTTTCTTAACTGAGTGTATTAAACATTTGCCTAAGAATTGTGAATGAGCTGGGTTTAAAAGTATGTCACTGGTCTTTTAATTTTACCTGAAGTAATATTGCTGTACAGATATAGAGATTTTAAGGTAACACATCAATTGTTTCATTTTATGAATAGTGAATTTGCATATATTTATCACACCCAAGGTATAGGAAATATTTTTATGTCATACAGTATTTAAGGGTTTGCTATCTTTACATTTAAGTTTTTGATTCCTTTGAATTTGTCTTTGGTGGTTTTTTTTTTTTTTTGGTAGGGAAGAAATCTGAAAATCTTCTGGACGATTGAGCTGGTTATCCAAACACTGTCTAAATATTAGTCCACCCTTTCTCTGCATCCTTGAAGCAAGCCCTCATCCTACCTCAGTCTCATCTGTGCTTGGGGTTTTCGGGGTTTCCTTTTGGTCCCTGAAGCTGCCGGGTTATTTTGGTTACTACAGATTTATAATGGCCGTGTTTTTCTGCTATTTGTTTAAGAGTTATTTCATTTTTCTGCTCACCCGTACTTTATAATTGGCATCTCGATGTGTGACCCATTGTCCCACTGACATTTTTATTGACATTCATATCTCTAAGTTCCTGGGAAGTGCTGCTTTCTGCTCAGCACTGTGCCATGGCCCTCAGGCCATCCAGAAGGGCTTCTCGGAGTCAGAGCATTCCCTGTGCCTACAGGTTCCGACCACATCCGGGAGAAAGATGGGCTGTGGGCCGTCCTAGCCTGGCTCTCCATCCTGGCCACCCGCAAGCAGAGTGTGGAGGACATTCTCAAGGATCACTGGCAGAAGCACGGCCGCAACTTCTTCACCAGGTAGGCACCGTCCCTGTCCAGCATGAGCACAGAGGGCCCCCCAGCATCTTTCCTGAGCCTCCGGCTTCTACCAACTGCAGACATTAGAAATAATTCAGCAAGGGCAGAGATGAAGCCATAAAGAGCCAGAAGATTCACCTAACATAACCAAGGGAAGAAATGCCTTATAAGCATTAAAATGCACCCACTGGGGGTGGGGGTGATAAAGCCTTGGAGTTGAATTCAGAAAAAGTGGCTTTGTCCATTATAGGCAACAGTCACATGGCACCAGGTGTAACAATTCCCAATTTGAAACTATACTACAAAGCCACTGTGATAAAATCAGCATGGTACTGGCAAAGAAATAGGCCTGAGGATCAATGGAACAGACTGGAAGACACAAAAACAAATGCAGATGTACTCAGCTACCTCATCTTCGACAAAGGAGCTCACCATCCTCAGTGGAGGAAAGATAGCCTCTTTAATAAATGGTGTTGGAAAAACTGGATATCAACCTGTCACAGATTAAAATTAGACCCTTATCTTTCGCCATGCACTAAATTAAAATCCAAATGGATTAAAGATCTAAATATTAAAACAGAAACA